AAAAAAAAAGAACAAAAGAAGAAAAAAAAGAAAGGAAAAGAAATCTTAGCCCAGATCTCGGCCTGATAAGCAATCGTTTTCCCAACCGAAATTCCGTACGGAGCATTGGTCGCGAGATAGAATCGTCGGCTCGCTTAAATAGGCCTCCTTAAGCGAGTCGACGATTATGCTTTGACGAATTTTTTTTTAAAAAAAAAAGAAAAACGGATTTGTGTCTGAAGTCAATCGAAAGATATATCAAACGGTCAGTCAACAGGTCATTTTTCAAAATCTGTAAAATGAGCCCTTTGATGAGCGTGTTTTGAATGATTGGGCGGAGACGGCTGTGGGACGGTCTTTTCTCAATGGGATGGTAGACTATTGAGTAGGTGAGCTGTTCTTGAACAGAGGTTGGTGCTGAATTTAGGCGGAACTAATAGGTAGCCGTCTCTTATGGAAGAGGGTCAGAGGGGCATTAGATAGTGAAATAGATAGATGGATGGATTTATCGGGACCTTTTCTTCCCCTTGCCCTTCCCTTTTCTTCCCCTTTGCAATCCCATCTATACATACATTTCATATCATATCATATCAACCGAACGGACGATTTGTACAATCAGAGCTTTGAGAAAAAAATCGAAATGGTTCGGTTTCTTTTTTGTTCGTGATTTCATGTGTTCCGTTTCGTTTTGTACGCACTGTACTATGTAGAGCTATAGGAAAGCGCATCTAGCTAGCTAGCTCAAACAAATCAAGCCTAGCCCGTACAGAAATTTAGCATTTTACTATTAGTTATTTCTACCCCCCAAAAAATACTTGTCGACAACCAGATCCTTGGCCTTTCCAGCTCATGATCTGTATCTATCGCACCGCGTTATTTAAATAACCCAAGCACGGCTGGCTGGCTGGCTGGCTCTGAACGAAAGCAAGCAGGCTCAAATCACATCACAACATATACTCAAACGACGGATTCCGCTTCCTCCCCGACGGCATCGACTTACCGACGACGAGCTCCAGCTCGCCAGCTTCCCGGTCAACCAGCCGCCCGTACTCGTGCGTAGCCTCACCACTCTTCACATTCAGCCTTCGCAGGTAGAGCCTCAAGACCGTGCTCAGGAGAGCAACGATGAGCATGGCGCCAGCGCACATCGACATCCCCTTGATGTAGAGCGGCGCGTCTTCTTCCGGGTAGATGCGCGTGCCGACGAGGGGCCCGCACTGGCCAATGATTTGCAGCATGGCGTAGCCGGTGCCCTGTTTGGATTCCGATTCCTGGTTGTTGATCGTCCAGGTGATGACGATGGTGATGACGTTGAAGAAGCCAATCGTCGCTGGGTAGATGGCGGCGTACCGCCACCACGCTCCTAGGCCGTAGTGAGAGGCGACGGCCATCAAGATGTACCCAGACGCCGAGAGGAGGGCGTGGAAGATCACAAAGTAGCTCCTGTTCCGTAAGCGATCGGAGAGGTAGGCTGTCAGGATCACAACCAAGAAGGACATCAGGTACGGGGGAGCGGACAGGGCTTGCGACACGAGGACTGTGTGGCCCATTTCGTGGATGATGGTTGGGAGGAAGACGGGCATGGAGGAGAACGCCATGTTGGTGAAGAAGAACATGAAAGCCGTTAGGTAGGATTTGGGGTCCGCCATTACGGAAAGCATCTCGCGGACGTTGAGACCGGCTTTGCCCAGAGGAGAATTGGCGTCTCTATCTCTTCGAAGGCGGAGACGCGCGACTTTCTTCTCCCGCGTCGTGAAGAAATATGCGCTGCTGGGGCTGTCGGGGATCCTGTGCCAGGCTATGGCCGCGACCAAGACACTGGGAAAGCCTTCGAGGAGGAAAAGTAGCCGCCAAGGAGCGATGGGTCCATTCTTCCCGATTTTGATGATCGCCCACGCCAGAGTGCTTGCGAAAGATGTCGCCAGCGGTGCCGCGGATATGAAGAAGCCAGTCCTCAGAGCCAACTCTTCCCGCCGGAAGAAGAAAGACAGATAAAACGGTATGCCCGTGAAACCGGCCTCGCCAATCCCCAACAGCGCCCTCAACACCAGCAGTCCAGCGAACGAGGTCGCAACCGCCTGCAGCGAAGCCACAACCCCCCAGCTCAGCACGATGCACGTCACGTAGATGTGCGCCGGTACAATCTTCCACAGCATGCTCATCCACTCGAAGCAGATGTAGGCGATATAGAAAGCCGTAATGACCCATTCATATCTCGCAGAGTCCAGGTCGAGATCCAGGTCCAGGCCAGCAATCTTGGCATTGCCAATATCTGCAATTCATTAGTGACGAGCCCATGCTGCATTCTGGGAGGTAGATATACTACACCGGTCCAGGAAGCCCAGCATGTACAGCAAGGTGACGAATGTGACCAGCTTGCGATCGAGCTTCCGCACCACGGCCCGCTCCTCGTCCGGGGCATAGAGTTGGTAAGACTGGGTCGTGGAAACGCTGGCTCGGCGCCTGTCGCGTATGGGGTGTTCTTCATCCTCATTCTCTTCCTCCCCTTCCTCCTCTTCCTCCTCCTCCTCCTCCTCCTCCTCCTCTATCCCGGCTTCCAATTTCTCCGCATCCCGTCCTCGTTGCTGTAGCTTGAAGCTTTCGCCCAGCACGCCCAGCTCGCCCATGTCCTTCCCCATGTCCAGATCCGAGTCCGAGACCGAGTCCGAGTCCGAGCCAGGCGTAAGTCTTGTCATGGCGCTCGAGTCAGGAGAAAGTTCGGCGTCGTCTAACAATCCAAGAGGCAGCAGGTAAGGCAGCGTTCGCGACTCCATCGCGACCCGGGTGGTTTTGAGCTCTCGCGGGTGGAGAGTGAGTGCAGGTCACACATGTACACCGCGGGCTGGGAACATGGCGCGAAGGGTCGCGTAATTAATGGCGCATGTATGTGTAAGTATGTCGATATCCACGGACGGAGTAGGAGAGGGAGATACTACGTACGTAGTATTCTGTTTCGTCGTCTAAGCTTCGGTAAGAGAAGGGGGGGATCAGCGCTGCCCTGGCTTTGAAACTCGGTTCGACAAGTGGGGTGGAGCTGAGCTGGAACATGGACTGGATTACAATACGATTTAAGAGACGATATCACAATACACCTTACTTAGGCGCGTTTCCTTTCCCTCGTTTCCCCCCTTACTTTACGCGTTGTAAAAAATATAGTGAAGATGCGTATATCCATCTACCCACCAACTTTGCAACGCTGAGCTTGCTCTGTGATATGGTGGCATACAGCATTTCTGAGATGAACCCGTTGATGGCTTGCTAATACGGCACTTGAAGCAGCGTGGGCGCGTTTCTTTTTTGCTTCTCCAATGTTTTTTAACGTTTTTTTCTTATAAAAATATTTATCCTTCTCCTTAAAACGCTCAGAAACGCGCGAATCGCGAACGCGTACTTCGCAAGAGCCTGGTCACCTCCTTTTGTTTATTTCCCTCCTCTCCTCTTCTTCTCCTTTAGTTTCTTTCCACCTACTATTTTCGATAGTTCGAAGACCTCTCTATTCGAAGCTTTATTGGCGATTAGATAAACAGACACTAGCTTCCGTGAGGTATCTTTTCTTATATCATATAATTACGAGCAACATCTAGCTTCGTCATAATATATGATACTCATCACATTCCCCAAATCTCATTCCACCTCCGATAATCCCCCTCAATCGGGCCAGCCAGCCTCCCAAACCGAGCAGGTTTCCCGGTGTTCGCCTCCGGGAGGCAGATCCATTCTCGAATACTCCCCGGTATCTCTTCGCGGACGTGGCTGATACAGAGAAGTGCTTGCTCCTCACCCAAGCCAGGGACTCTTACCTGTTTGCGTTTTGAGATATCGGAGTCTACAATCCTTGGACCTTTGCACAAGGATTTCGTCATATCTCTTGCCGACAAAAAAGAGGAGAATTGTTTCGTTTCTCCGTGGGCGAGGAAGAGAAGACAGCGGTCTCGTACGCCGTCATCCATGCCGCTGAAGGCTTCGTCTAAGATGACCAGATCTGGATTTTTGATAATCGCACGGAGAAACAGCGCAACTTTCTGAGAGGAGAAAGGCAAACCCCCAAACAGAGCCTGATCTGCCCATTCAGTACCGTCGGCAACGACACTGCTGGTCTCTCTTCGAAGGTCGCGTTCAAACCATCTCAAGCAGGCATCGACTTTCTCCCTCGCAGACTCGTCGACCTTCGGGACACCTCTGAAGGTATCAGCCCATGCATTCTCCAAGACCTGGCGAAGAGTCAGCGACTTTGGAATATGACCGTGAATTTCTGGACTCGAGTGACCAATTCGAGCCTGCAGATCAAATATCGAGATGCCCCTCTGACCAGGTTCGGGAATCCTTGATCGGCCAAAAAGTTTGATAGGAAGCGCATAGGTTTGCGGGTGGTCTGAGCAAATGAGAGAGAGGAGGGTTGTCTTTCCAGATCCATTCGGACCGAAAATCCCCCATCTCTCGCCACGTTTGACATCCCACCGTAGCCCGTGTTGGGCTTTGCTACCGTGAACTTCTGTTTCCCAGTTGCCCAAGACAGTTTTATCTCCATACCGGACTCGGACGCCTTGGATTTCTATTAAGGGCTCCCCAATGGTTGGTGTCTCGATATCATGCAGAGGAAACCCGTCCCTACTCAAGGTGGTATTTTCAGCCTGGGAAGCATTTGGCTTTCCACCGCGGGAGAAAGTAACCCGCTCTTGCGTTAGATTCTGCCCAAATAGAGACTCCTGAACGATCCCATCTTTCGTCAGAGTCCTGCCAACTTCATGGAGAGAATGCAACGGCATCCCAGGATCGGCCTCTGTCTCGCCTTTCTGAACCATATAAACACGAGCTCCCAAACCATTCAGTACATCCCTCTTAATTCCTTGAAAAGCAACCTCGCAGTTACCCTTCAAGTAAATCAGATGCGTAATCCAATCCGGAATCGGATCCTGTGGTCTCAAAGCCAGCACCAGCCTAGGTTTATTCGCTTCAGCAAGCCGCTGCAGCATCGGACTCAAACTCAACAGCGTCGGCGGATCCAGCCCCATAAACGGCTCATCCAGCAACAGCACCTCCGGGTCCGCCAGCAGCGCACTCGCGATCCTCGCCCGCCTCGTCTGCCCATTACTCAGATTCGAGACCGGCATCTCGACCAGCTCCTCCAGCCTCAGATCCTTGACCACCCTCGCCAGCAGCGCGGAATCGACCCTCTTGCCATCATCGTCGGAAGGGTTCAGCTCCGTGTTCCCCAGTAGGTAATCCAGCACGCTGAAATCCGTGTCCTCCCTCCTCGACTCGTATCGCGCGCTCAGGTACGCGCTCTGCGGCGCCTGCTGACCGAGTCCCTGCTCCCCATCGAAGCCTACTTGCTTGATAACCGCGCTGGGATGCCGCCGCCTGTGGTCCTCGGCTTTGATCTCGTCCGACGACAGGAACGGGTATGTTCGTCCTGCGGGTGGGATGCATAAATGCTTCCCTCGTAGAATCTGCAGGAACGTGGTCTTTCCTGACGATGAAGGGCCTAGTATAGCCCAGTATTCGGGTATGGAAGCGAAGGACGGCAGGGAGAAGGTGAGGTCTTGGAAGAGCGGGGGGTTAGAGCTCGTGGCTGCGTGGTGCGAGTTCGGGTGGTGTCTGTAGAAAGTGCCATTGGATATGCTGATGACCGGCGGTCGAGCATTGGATGTGCCATAACGACGGAGGAGTGTTCGCTTTGCATTGATCCTCGTGGTTGCCTTTCTCATTGTCGATAGTATGGTGGTTGGAGATATGGCGGATTATTAAGTACCGCAGCTGGTATACCCCGGAATTTGGAAACCACGCTAGTCAGTCAAGCTATAATCTACGTCCGCTTCGTGCCTGGAGCTATACTTCTCGACAGCAACAGCACCTCCCGACCATAAAACCTCCCCGTCAACACCACATCACAGTCTCCAGTCGTAGCAGCTCAAAAGACTTCATCATGGTAAGCTCTCATTCCTCCAGCAAGCAAGCAAAATACATGCATACATACCCCCATATCCCCAGCCTACTCTTGCTCCCCCTTCTCCCTTCCCCCAAATCTCCCAGCCTCAAAGGCAACCCCTCTCCCAGGCCACCCCCCAGCAGCCAGAACTAACAGCCTCTCTCTCCCCCCCCTATGCAGTCCATGAGAATCGCCCCAGCCGCCGGCCACACAAGCACACACTCGCACCTCTCGGCCCACAGCCTCGGCGCGCCCTCCGCCCCGGGCATCCACGACACCCTACGCGCCGGCGTCGGTCCCTCTCTGACGGCCAACATCACCAGCAGCAGCTCCGGCAGCTCCCCCTCCAGCATCCCGGACTCAGCCCACCCGCTCGAGATGCGCCTGAAGAAGTGGGAGGCGACGCAGGAGGCGCTGAAGCTGGAAGGTCTACGCCGCACCTTCGGCGTCGCGGAGCCCATCCGCCGCGGCATGGAGCTGAAGATCACGCGCGACGGTGAGTGGCGACCAGCGTGCCTGGGAGGCGGCCTGGAGAGGGGCGTGCACGAGGATATCCTGAGGGGGATGGATTGCGATATTAGCTGGGAGGACGTGTTCAAGGGGGATGAGTTGAGGGGTGTGCTGGGCTTTCATGATGAGGTTGAGAGGAAGGTGCGCATGCAATAGAAGCAGGGAGAGGCCGTGCTCCTTCGTGGGGGAGGGAGAATATTGGTGCGAGCGTGCTTTGGGGGGGGGAGCCTCTTGACGGATGAAGTTTGGGTTAAAGGGAATTTGACGGCTTGTAACATCACTGGGCTTCAGTTGGCGTTGTGGATTCGCCATGGAGCAGATTCAAACATGGGCTTTGCAATCAGACCTCGTCCGGTGGAACCGCTGTTTTTTAATCGCAGAAGTGAACAGCGACTAAATTCTCTCGAGGGTCTCGTAGAGAACCCAAACCAACAACTCATTACATAAAGTTCAGTCCTAACTGTACAATATACTCCTTCCCTGCCCGCACTCCCAAGCCACGCTCGCCTGGCAATTATACGCACGCGCTGAGAGACTGAATCGCTACCGCGACCGCTACCGCAACGATGCGCTGGCCCGTACCCAAGGAAAACGGGAATCAATGCAAACCGTAACGCCCTCTTCTCAAACCCTCCGTGCAATGTGTGTGGCCGCCCTATGCTGTATTTCCCTGATCTCATTACAATGCCGCTCGTATGCTTCCCCGGCCAAGTGGACTGACTGGCCTACGATATCGGCCATCCGTCGATGCACAAGAGGTCCAGATAGCCCTGTGTAGATACTCCCGATGGATGCTGAAGAGGCCGATCACTGTATCACGCATCGACATCCAGCGGTCTCCTCCTCGCCGTCCCTGTCCCTGTTCGACTGCTTGTTCTTCCCTCCGTCCTCCTCGTCCACGATATCCTGGGGTCGGACCGTCATATGTAATATGTTTGGGAGACCGGAAGAGAACCTGCAGTCTGTGTCCTCATGTTAGATTTATGACAGGGATTGGCTCATGGTAGATTTATAAAAAGGGTTGGGTTCGGAAAGGGCCAGAGAGAAGAGTTTCTTACCTGCCAACGTTGATTTGTCGTCCAGCATGCGTCCATAGAATATCAACCGGATGTTGGTGGGATTAGTTGGCTTCGTCTCCCACTCCTCCCTCCACGACCGCAAGATCAGCTCCTTCAGTGTGTACACGCTGATACTGTATGGGTCTGCCTTTCCCGCCTCGGTCTTGCTAGGTACATCCACGCCTCGTTTCGCCAGATATTTCTCGTCAATGTTGAATGGTACTTGCCTAGCGGTCGCCTGAGGCAGCAATTGAATCAGCAGTACCGACGCCGCCTCGCCTGTCGCCGCCGAAGAAGGGTTGGCTGCCGCCGCCCGGTTGGTGTGTTCCTCCTCGTCATCCTTCTCTGGAGTAGCGCTTGAGATCGACTCGCCGATCTTTGTTGTCGTGGCCATCTCGTGGTGAGCTGGAGTGGGACTCGGATTTGGAGAGGACCGGGATGTCTTGGCAGGGTTTGGAGTAGTCGAAGGAGCTGGCTTGGTATTCTCGTTGGCAGTGGTGGATTGAGGCATGGTAAAGGAAGTGGAAAATGAATCGTCTATAGGCGAAGAGGGAGTAACAGAGACATTGTTGAGGAGGCCCTGCGATCCCGCGCCTGCACCTGCACCTGCTCCTGCTCCTCCTCTTGACACTGGCACCCTCTTGGAAGCATCGAGTTCAGACATCTCGACGGGAATGTGGGATGGTAGTCGATGGGTTGCGGTGGTCGAAGAGAGAGGCCGCGAGCCATAGGGGTGGCCTGCGCCCGACGAGTCCATGACCTTATTGGCTGGATAGGTGTGGGTTTCTGGTGGGTTTCTGGTGGGTTTCTGGTGGGTATGCTGGGCCTGAAGGATTGGTTATCGGGGCTGGAGGTGGTGGAGATGGTGGAGGCGGAGGTGGAGGTGGAGGTGGAGGTCAAGGTATGGGTCTGGGTCTTGGGTCTGGGTCTGGGTTTGGGTCTGGGTTTGGGTACGGGTACGAGGAGGTATTGGAGGGGGTTATGTGATTTGAGTTGAGTGGCTGCAAGGAGCGCCACGGCTGTGGCAGACAGAAGAACAAGAAGGACAAGTAACAAGGAATTAAGAAGAGGGTAATGTGCAGCTCCGGTCCAGCAAGATTAGTGTTCTTTGTACGTATGGGTACGGTAACGTACGGTATGTCAATGTGTCAAATGAGTGTCGGGAGGCAAGAACTGTGAAGTGAAGTGGAAAGACAGCCGCGGTCTTGTTGCTGCTGGCCTGGCCTGAGGCTGGTTGATAGGATTTCGAAGTTTCGAGCTTTTGAGGTTTCGAGGTGTTTTCTCGACAAGAGACGGAGAGACGGAGAGGCGGAGAGGCGGAGAGGCGGAGAGGCGGAGCGGAGGGTCTTTTGGTCTTGGGACTTGGTCTTGGCAATGGCAATGGCAATGGCAATGGCAATGCCTTCAATTCGAGCGGCTGTTCGCGTCCCCGTTGGCTCCAGTTTTAGTTTGGGTTTTAGCTTTAGTCTTAGTTTTAAGCGGGGGGCTATCCCCAGATCTCATTGAGATCTGTTCTGATGCTGTCAACGGCCATCACAGTCACACCAAAAGAGAGTAATCATTGAAAATTGCAGTAGAGATGCACATACACTTCGTATCAGCAGTCGTGGCAGGCAAGGCAGGTAATAAGGTGGTGCATAATTCGAATCTATCAATGTCTGGGGTCGAACTTGAACTCACCCGGAGACCCCCACCCCGACGCCGAGGTCCCTGTCCAGCTGGCAGTACCGGTACCAGTAAGTGAGTATATGCACATATTCAAACCTCCGCAAAAAGACAATGATGGCCGGCTTCTTTTCCCTCGTCAAGCCTCTGGGTACCACGTATGCAAGGTGGAGGAGAAGGCGGTACTCGACAACTCATATCCCTCGACTCGTGGCCAGCGGCTACATTGAGGCCCTGGCATTTGTCCGACGAAGCACACGTGTGAGTGATAGCATTTCCAAGTTACATTGACCAGCTGTTCTGCTGTACCGTGGCCGTTGATTTTCTTCGAGTGATGGGCAACCCGGCCACCTCCAGCCCCTCCAGCCATACGCTGCGACCTGCTCTGGCTAGGGCCGGCAAACGGGGATGCCATGCCGTTAAGAAACAGAAAATCGGACTCTACTCTTTGACCAAGACGCTAAGAAACTAAGAAACCAAGAAACGAAGACTAATTGTTGTTTAGGGCTATTGCGGGAATGGCTCGTCATGTGGATTTGCCATCGACTGTATCAGTTGGGTACTGCGCTTACTCCGCCTCACCAGGCACCCTGTTGATTCAGCACCATGCTGTACCTCGGCAGATCGGCTGGATCTCTACAATCTACAATGCTGGAGACGTATCTACATCGAAGTTTTTCTAGCTGATCTCGGAAGTCGGACAGTCTTCGTAGGTCCTGCTAAGCGTGGGGGAGAGAGAGGGGGGGAGAGAGAGATAGGGGGAGAGAGAGTGTGTGTGTGGTGTGGCAACTCTTCCCTCCCTCCCTACGACCCTTTTGGCGAAGCGAGAATTTTCGATGCGCTCATGGAGCAATTATCTTGTTTATAAATAGCATAAATGAGCTCAATCTATTAGTGAGTCGCTGTCAGACTACACAGTCTCCTGCTGCCGATTTTACCTAGGCCAGACGGTTGGGACTGCTGTTCGGTCTCCACCGCTGTTGTTTACTACGCTCGATCCATATACTACTAGTAGTATAACTACCCCCCTGCCAGCAGAGCTATACCATACCCACAGCGATACCATCCATTTTCCAAATCCGTGCATCTTTCATCACGAAAGAGACCTTCCTCAAAGCTCCCTTATCAATCCTCGGATCCCCGTCAAGCGCAACAACATCTGCCTGTGCACCTGCCTCGAACCACCCAAACCTCTTCCCACACATTTCACCACCGCAAGCCTCCCATCCGCCAACTGTGCAATTCTCCAGGACATCTTCAAGCGGAATTCCACATTCAAGCAGTACTTCCATCTCCCTCACCACATCGCCCCCCGTACCACCTCCACAGGCAATCCTCACTCCTAGTTCAAACGCCCTCTTCGTCTGCGCCATCAACGCTGGCAGCTTACTCCTCTCCGTACTTGCCAAATTAGGCACCAAAATAACGCTCTTCTCAGCCATCGCCCTCAACACCCCTTCTCTCCCACCAATCCCGTAGCCATACTCAATACTCCTCACTCCGGCCTTGATGGCCGCCATAGCCCCCTCCAGCGTGCGGCAAAGCGCCGCAACCGGACGTCGCGCCGCCCTCGCCACCGAGACCACGGCATCCATCTCCTCCTGCGCGAACACGACATAGTCCCTCTCGGGCTTCTCCAGCAGCGACAGGATGCCCGCCGTGTACGGGTGCTGCTGCCCTCGCGGCTTGCTGCTCCGGGTATCCAGCACCGGGAGCACCTTCTTGCAGTCGGCGTGGAGCGCGATCACGTCCGTGCCCGCGGCGATCTGCCGCAGGACCGCCCGGCGGATCTCGTCGAGGCCGTTGAGGACCTCCGAGCCGGGCGGGGGGAGGTAGCGGCTCGTGCCCTTCTCGATCCGGTGCGTGGACGAGTGGGCGCTGGCGAGGGGCCGAGTGGCGACGAAGTGTCTCGGGCCGGGCATGAGCTCGCGGCTGATGGCGTCGCGGATTTCGACGTCGAATTCGAAGTCGGGCATGGAGGAGGAGCCGAGCTCGCGGTAAGTAGTATATCCGGATAGAAGGGCAGTGCGGCATCTAGCGATCGGAATCAGCAGGTCTTCAGGTATCTCCCTTCTCCCCCCCCCAAAAAAAAGGTCGGGGGAAGGAAAAAATGGGACATAGCAGCGTATCCAAACTAGGGTTAATGGACAGCGCCCGCTCTAAAACCCACCGGTTCATCGCCCGGATGATGCGTTCCGTCACGCTCTCTACGCACTGCCGATCCGGAACCGGAACCACAGCAACCTCACTACTATATCCCCAAATCAGCATCAGCATCAGCATCAGCACCAGCTATAACCCTCTCTCCCTCTTTTCTCTCTGCAAGCACCACGCCATCTATCCATCCACTCATCCATCTTTCCCACTCACCCATCCTGATCTCGCGGGGAGAGATACGCATGCGCATCCACAAACCCAGGCACAACGACCTTCCCCCTCAGATCCACCACCACGCTCCCTGGCTCGGGCAACGGCGGCTCGGGTAGCGCATCGTCGTCATCCCTAGCGAAGATGCCCGTCACCAGGCCCGTCTCACGGCTGACTATGAGCGATATATCAGCGAGGAAAGCCTTCTTCCGAGGGTCGAACAGGGTCGAGGTGTGAATCGTGATGATGTCGCCCATTGTTTTCTCTTTCTTTTCTCCTTCTTTTTCTTTTTTTTTTTCTCTTTTTCGGTCTCTCTTTCTCTTTATGAATTCTTGCTTTCTTTCTTTCTTAATACTACCGTACGTACGTGACGTGCGCGCGTAGCTCGCTTACCGAAGGCAGCGTCGCGGCGTCGGGAAAATCAGGGGGTGGGAGGGGGGTGTCGGAGAAAGAAAGAAAATAAATGAAGAGAGAAGAGAGGAGAGGAGAGAGAGTGTGTGTGAAAAATCCCCGTTCTCTGTAGGTATGTATGTACGTACGTACGTATGTACTTATGTATGTATATACCCCGCGAAACCAAAGCTTGAAGGAGACGAGGAAATCGACAACGAAAACGACGAAGTGCGGAAGTGAAAAGGTCTCATGGGATTGATTTAGTGACCTGGCTAGTTCGCTAGCTAGTGTGCCCTGGTTAGATGGCTAACGGGCTAGTCTTCGCGCCACGACGACGATATTTCTTCTCGAGATGTCTCTCTCTCGCGCGCGCGCGCGCGCATGCTTGCGTACGGTACGGAGTAGAATAGATAGATAGGTACTTGGGTAGATGGGTGTCCATTCGTCTGCCACGTGCAGTGCAGTGCAGTGCCGAGGAGCTAGTTAGCTAGTTAGCTAGTTAGCTGTGAGTATATATGTATGTATGTATGTATGTATGTATGTATGTATGTATGTATGTATGCAGCGTGAGCTGGCTGTTAGGTAGGAGATCCACTGCTGCTGCTGCTGCTGACGAACTAACTATCTTTCTTTTTTGAACGAAAGTTGAAAGTTGAGGTTGAGGTTGGGCTTGAGATTGAGATCGGGAATGAGTGAATAAATAAATGAATAAATGAATAAATGAATAAATGAATAAATGAATAAATGAATAAATGAATAAA